AATTTTAGGGGAATTTTCTAATAAAATCTAAAAAATTGAGGGGCTTTTCTGATATAATCTAAAAGTTAAAGGGGGTTAACCACTACTTAACGGGATCTTATAATATTATATCTAAAAAATAATGGAATATTTTTTGAAAGACCCCCTCAACTATTTTAATATAAGTAAACCCCTACAAGTTTAAGCATATTGTAGATAACCCCCATCGACTATGAAACTTTGAGTTAACCCCTTGAGCTTTCCTCAACTGTAGGAATTGTATACAACCCCCCTCCCCCCTCCTCAATTATTTTAATTTGAGAAACCCCTAGATTTGAGCTTATTATAGATAATCCCTCTCAAGTTTAAAATTTTAAGAAATCTCATTAAACTCTTCTCCCTCTATGCCTTGAAGCTAACATTGTTACCCTAATAACCCTATAAGTTCACATTTTTTCATTTAACCCGATATTTTTTTTTTGCAAAAAGACCCCAACATCGGATGTTTATAATCTTAAGATTATTCAGAGGTTTTTTGTAATTATTGGAATTTTCAAGAGGTTGATATAATTTTAAGATTTTTAGGAGATATGCTTCTAACTATAGTTTTTTAGGGTTGTTTTTATTTTTTATATATTTTGTGTTTTTCAGTAAATTTTTTCTTTGCCATTTTCTAACTTAAAGGGTTTGTTTATGATTTTTCATATTTTTAGGGGGTTGTTTACAATTTAAAACTTTTTAGGATGTTATTTTTCATATTTATTTTTTATTAATTTTTTTATTTTCATATTTTTCATGTGTTTGTTTAATGTTTTAAATTTTTAGGGAGTTGCTTTTTAATTTTCAAATTTTAAAGGAGGTTGTTTGTACTTTTTAGATTTGCATATGTTGTCTGTAATTTATGAATTTTCTATAGATCATTTATAATTTAAGAATGATAAGAGTCTTTTCGCATTTTTAGATTTTTTAAGTTTTTTTTTTGGCAATTTCATGAAACCCTCAAATATAACATGAAGGCAAATCTCTCTAAAACCCTAACAATATTATTATTTGGAACTAAATCTCAAATAATCTTTAAAACTTCCACTAAATGCCCAATAATTTTTGGCAGAAAATCCTCAAAATTAACATCATTAATTCATGTGTAGTCAAATGACCAAAACACACCTAGTAACCGAATAAGTTTTACGCTTATTCACTTAAGTCCTGACAATTTCTAGCAAAAAATACAAAATAATGGTTATTTATAGTTTTAAGATCTTTTCAGAGCTTTGTTTGTATTCATTGGGATTTTCAAGAGGTTGATTATAATTTTTACATTTTAGAGGGTTTTGTGTCCAATTTTTTATTTTCGGAGTGTTGTTTATACTTTTTATATTTTTCAAGTTTTTGTAATCTCTTTAGGATTTTTTTGTAGCTTTCTAACTTAAAGGGTCAATTTATTATTTGTAAGACGTTTTAGGGTTTGTTTGCAATTTAACGCTTTTTAGGATTCCATTTGTCATGTTTTACTTTTTATGGGATTTTTTGTAATTTTCATATTTTTGTATGTTTTTTTGAATTTTTGAACTTTTAGGATCATTTATAATTTATAATTTTTAAATCGGTTTCTTTGCATTTTATGGATTTTTAAGAAGTTCTGTGTAATTTATAAAATTTTGTAGGTCATTCGTAATTTTAGAACTTCAAGAGTACTTTTTTTCAAATTCAATATTTTCAAGGGTTTTTTAAATTTTCAAAATTTTTGGGGCTATATATTTTTTTGTAGCTTTCAAAATTTTCTAAGTATTATTTGTAATTTTAGAATTTCTAAGTAACTATTTGTAATTTTCCCTTCTTTTGGGTTGTTTACAATTTAAGGGTTAATTAGAAAATAAGATCAATTTGAGGGGGATATACAATCTTTGAGGTTAAATTTTAGCCGATATGAAATTTTAGGTAAAGTCAATTTGGAAGTTAAGTGTAGAAATCAAAATATTTTGTGTGTTTCTTAAATTATCAACTTATTAGGGATTTAATGAGAATTGCAGACATTAGAGAGTTTAGTGCTCAATTTAAAGTTATGAGAGGTTTATTAAAATTTACTTTTTTAAATAATTAAGGAGTGACAATGATAATTTTTTTAGAATTTTTTAATTATGAATGGTGAGAACTTGCTTAGAATTAACAAATAATTATCAGAATTTTCTACTTTTTTATGAAAAGAAATTTCTAGTAATGGATATGAATAGTTTTAATTTAATGAGAATTCTTAAGAAAATAAAAATAGTTGGACACATGTTATCTTTTAATAGGATAGAAAATCAGTTCCACTATTTAATCTCTTTTATATCAATTTTGGCTAAAGACTTTACCTTTAAATTATTTGAATATATTAGGATAATATTAGAATGTAATATCCAAAAGACAAAAGGGTTAGGGGTAAATTAACCATGGAAAATTTTTCTCACGCTCACTCTTTTATAAGGATTATATGATATGATATGTTTTGTTTAAAATAATTGAATCCGAATCCAAATTCGGATAGCTAATTGTAGAGTTTTTTTGAATTCAAACTCCAATGCTCAGTATTTGATAAATATTCACGAGTATTCATAAATATTTACCGAATATCAAGTATATTAATATTTCTAAAGAAATTAATTTTTAATTATTAATTAAATGTATAAATTAATAATATTCCTTTGTAATTATGATCTTCATTATGACATTAATTTACAGTTGTCACCGATGAGTTTTCATATTTCGAAAAAAAACTACATATTCAAATCACTAGTAACGCTATCTAATACATCATTAATAACAATATGAAGTACATAGTCGCACTTTAGTAATTCCATCATAAGTACATAGTCGCACTTTAGTATGGTGATGGAAGCTTATCGTGATGATTTGGTTACATGTGAATAGGAAAGCGTGTTATGTGCGTTAGAGCTCTATAAAATCATAGGATACATAGGAAGCGCTTCGGTGAAAGTGGTGTCAAGTGACTCCACTTCTTGACACAACTTCCACCAATATGGATCTGCCCCTGCTTAGGTGAAAGTGGTGTCAAGTGACTCCACTTCTTGACACAACTTCCACCAATATGGATCTGCCCCTGCTTATAATCATTTTTCCCGTTTGTGTATATGATTTTAAACATTAAAATGAAATTAGAGCAATCTCTTCGTCATTAGTTAGACTAAGAATAATGATGCACCACAAAATATTAAGCTTTTGATCTAGGTACGAATCAAGAAGTCTAGTGATCAAAGGGTCAATATACTTTTGAATCACCATTAATTCCACGTGCCGGACCCACGGGATAGTTTGTCCATTGGCTTGATTGCACATAAATACTCTATATGTAGTTTTTCGTACTTGTTTTTTATAGCCCTTATGTACCTAAAGTTTTTAAATTTTACACTTAAATATACAGAGTCATACAAATATGAGAATTTCCTCCTAAAATTGTCAGACAACACTGCATACCAATCTTAGAATTTATAGCCTTTAATAATTTTTTTTAGATTCAACGTTATAACTGTAGTAATTCTATTTTAAAAACCGACACTAATTTCATTTTTAAAATAATATTTTGATAGGTTTAACAGTAAATTTCACAAATACTACAAGTAAAAATGTTCCGTGAGCATCACAAGAAAATTTTAGGGGGCAATTCTCACTTTTGCATAAACAAGGGTATTTTGAGTGCAGATTCTAAATACTTTAGGATGTATAAATGTTGCCAAAAACAAGTGAGGGTACGTAAGTGCAGAGTAAATAAAAAAAATAAAAAAAGTAGCACGAGTTATTCTTCCTTATTTGAGAGGAGGGAAAATAAAGGCTCAAAAGTAGTATAGGAGGGTATTGAGTAGAGGAAGAAAGAGGGGGGTGAAAGCAAAAGAAAGGGGCAAGGAGAGAAGGATTGTTCTTGCTCTTTAGGCTCTTAATCGGTCCCACCTCAGATCGTGGTTTCCAGTACGCCTTCAAGCATAAGCTTTCTTTTAACTCATCATTGAGTCAAACCCTACAAGGGAGCTTACTCCTTGGTTTTCAATAGTTGCGCCCAGTTGTGAAGTCCATGAATGTGCATGTTGACAAAAATGAAAAGCAGCAAGATTTAGCTCACTTTTGTTGCTCCAAAGCTAATTTATGATTACAAGCTAACCAAGATTTAGGTATCATGTAATGAGCACCTTTTGCGAGGATTTGACAAAAGAAATAGGCGTTCGAGATTCTAGAATTATGCAAGTGTCATGTAAAAGATATAAATCTTATCAATCTCACTCCAGAAATTGTCCTATGCTAATCATTATTATAACTTGCCGTTAATTTCAGAACCCACCCCCCAAAAGAATTTTTTTTTGCGTATGTTTATTTTTTGGTGATCACGTGAGATGAACAAAGTTTCCTAAACTATAAACTTTTCTCACCAAACGCCCTACAAGAATTTGCAAATAACTAAAAGAATGCGAGAGAAAAAACTCAAATTTTAAGGGAGGCAAAATATTGTTTGTAATGACAAGTGATAAAGTTTGGATTTTTTTTTTTCCTCAAAGACATTTTAATTATTTGCAAATTACAGACTAAGGGTCAAATGGGATAATTTAAAATTCGTCGCCAGGTCCCCCCCCCTTTTTGGCCGCGGATAAACAAAATTCAAGAAGGAGATTATGTGCAAAACCACCCATGTGTTAAAATTTAACCCCTTTTTAATTTATTAGAAGAGTTCCTATGGTTAAAATTTAAAAGACCGCACTTTGTTATGATTTTCCATTTACAACTTTTAGCTAAAAGTTGCAGCTTATAGATTGTAAGATGAGATCACATGCGCCAGAAGCGTATTATACCATTTTTTTTAATTTATTTAAGAAATGCATTATAGTTCCTTAAGCCAAGGGTGACCTTTGTGAAGAGCATTTGCATATTTGTAGCGCTGAATATTGATGTCACTGATAAAGGGAAAGAATATAAATTTACATTGAAAGAAGAGGATGCTTTCACAGATTACGCAGCAAATTATATCAAAGGAATGATGACAGTATGTGGACTACTAACATGAGTATGATTGCAAGTTTTGTGACATCTACAAACTAAGTATCATACACGGTAGAAGATTCATAATTTCCACTTTAAACACCAAGTTCTCTACACTAGGAATTCTAGGGCTTGGCTCATTCATACTTGAATTTCTACTATATTAAAAACTTCACATTGGTCACATTCACAAACTAAATATCATACGCAGCAGAAGACTCGTAATTTCCACTATAAACACCAAGTTTCCTACACTAAGAATTCTAGAGCTCGACTCATTCATGCTTGAATCGCTACTATTAAAAACTCTACATTGCATTATCTTGCTGTGCCAATAGATCGTTGCGATTTCTCAATCCAAGAGCTGAAGATGAGCAAAAGGCAACATGAACTCATAATACTGGCAAGAGCTAAAGGAGCACAGCTAGAATAAAGGCTTGAATGTAAGGACTAATTCTGCTTATCCTCACCTGAAACCTTCAAGTACGTTTGAAATGTTCTCGGATGAATTTCTCTGCATAAGATGGATACTTCTCTCGAATGTATGCTCGAAGGCATTTCTGGTATGAAAAATCTATCCAGACACCATCAGTCCTCACAACAAAAAGGCATCTTGATTTTTTGAATGTTGGGTGTCGATCAACCTTCCCAAAAAAAATAAATCAAATTAAGTCCATTCTGCATGTGACAAATTTCTGCAATTGATAAAGCCATCAACATCACAAATTTGTAAAAGGATCTATTAGAGCTAATTTCCAAGTATAATAAGCAAAGATATTCTTATGCAAAGAACTTTGCTCAGGTTACATCGTTGTATCTTCTTTTCATAGAAACATGGAAATTAGTAAAGACTAAAACCTGCCATAAAATATTACAAGAATGCCAAAGTACAATCAGTATATGAGATAAGTTTTGACATCTCTGCTATCTTATACCGGGAAGGCATTGATACAGTTTTCTTCCCTGCCTGAGCAACTGAGTGCTCCAAAGTTACAAAAATGACCTCGTTAAAATTAGTGGTTACAATACAAGGCAGATTGTACCATAACAAATAGATGAAGAAACTTAAAGTGGTATCATTTAATTATCCCAGGTGCATTGCACTTGCAGGAATCTAGTTAATATTAGCTGCACTAGGGCCTTAGGTGCTTATGGCACTGCCTAGGTCACTAGCAAAAGTATTCTTTAGATGTCTGAAACTTTTGTTTCATCTTAATGCAAACCCTTAGATAAGAAAACAAAATGGCTGGACAACATGCATCATAACACCATTACCAGGTTGTTTGAACACGAAGTATTTAGGGTTTTGTGCACATGCATTTTTGTTTGTGGTTGTGCACATTTCCTTCTGTGCACAACTGCGCATATGAAGTGTTCTTTTTATTTTTATTTTTTGGAGCATATAATTCATATGCAAACTTCGTTGATGGGATAAGGCTTCGTTGTGTCTATGAATCAACGTTGCATAAGAATGGATAAGGATATGATTTCAATTTGAAATATGAAACCGGTGGAAAGCAACACTATCTACGCAACAGCAGTAAAAAGTTAAAAATCACATTAGACGTGAAGAAAACTGACATGATGTCTCAAATTTTGCCTCTTTTTGTTACACCATTAGAGACCATTTGATCTATCAATTTTTGTTTTGTTACATCATTAGAGACTATTTGATCTATCAATTCTGCCATTACATCAGCCATATAATTAAGTGGCTGAAATCCAGCTCTTTAAACGGAAGTCAAGTGCTCCATATCATCCCCAATCTGCTGCGCAAAGTGAGGTGATCAATCTTGGGTTGTAGAATCACCTACACTTGTCAGATCCTAACATAAAGATTGGTCTAAAAGGATTTATTCAGCAGTTTTATACAGGAACATCCCTATGGGACCGTTGGCAACACTCCTTCAGCTCATTTTCCTTGACATTCCGAAATGCATGTTTAGTTGAAGACTTTACAACTGCTCGCTGAACCTTTTCAGCACATTAATTGAGTGATATATCATGTGTTCAAACATTATAATAATTATGATAAATTCTTCTATCACATTGCAGAAATCACTTCCACTATTCAGCTGAAGGTGTGTGTATCATGATATAGCAGCTGAAAGCAAAAACTGGGATCTGAAGCTCAATGACCTTGACAGTCTGGGTTAACCTAGTCGGTTGATTTGGAAACTAAACAGTTAAAGTTATTAATTTTACCATGCTCTTTCAAAATCTAGTACAGCTTATGAGCAGAAACCATGGTCAACCATTCATAATGGTGGTGAGACTGAGAAAAAGGACGAACACAGGGGTGTTTGTTTGCACAAAAGTGAAAAACTAAAGTGTGAAAGTGAAACATGATTAACACTTCATGTGTTTGTTTGATTGAAAGTGAAATACAAAAAGTTGTCCACATCAGCCATAATGCATGTTTAAGTTCCCCTAGAAAAAGTGTTGAAGTCACTTGAGTGGACAATTAGGAACCATAATATATTAAAATACTACATTTATTAATATATTTTATGCTTCTCCCTACAATTCAGTGGCAACAGCTGGCTAAGCTCGTGATAAAACTTTTTAGCAACCATTAGCTAGTATTTACAGCTATCAGTTAGTATGCTTCTGTCACAATTACATATGTTTAAGATGCATTCTATTATACTTGTACGCATTAATGCCATGTACTTACCTATAGTTTTTTGAAAGGGGGAAAACTGAACAACTTGTGTGAAGTGCTTAATCCTTGAACTAATCATTCAAATTAATGTATAGTCGAGTTGGATTCACAACTGAAAGAAGTATTTACAAGTTGATTTAAATAAATAAATAAAACAATACTTCCACATCTTCTTCACCTTCCTAGCTTCAACAATAATTTAGTTTTTCAAACAAACACTATAGTTCATTTGCATGCTAACATGGATACACTTTCTCACTTGTTAAAAAAAAGTCTTTCGCTCTTTCGATTCACTTTCAGTTTGCCAAACACCCCCATGTATCAATGCAATGCCAAAAATGGATTTTAACAAGACCCCCATAAAATTGGAAGAGAAAATTTTAAAACTGACCATACATGTTGGGGAATTAAAGAAACAACACATTCAAAAAGTAAGTGCAGCTGAAAATTAGAATGTTGAAATGGTTGGTCAGCAATACATTATGAGATAAGATATGAAATTATCGTAGTTGTAAGGAGTTTACAATTGGGGATCAAGTAAGGAGAATAGTAGACACCTTCATATATGTTCAACATATGACCTTCTCTGTTAAAAGTAACAGGATCATAGTTGACCAAGGACTGGAAATGGAACCAAATCAACATAAATCGAGGCAGTAAAAAAAGGATCCATTATTTAATAGAGAAGATGTTCTACCAGCTAAATGAAGAAAAGTCATTCATATAGCCAACCTCTCAAAGACCAAAAGATTTAAATCGGATATGTTATTTAGCCTCTTCAACCATTATTCACATATATGCGATGTATCTGAAATGGGTACAGGTGCGGATATAGGTACAAGACACGACAGATTTGTAAAGGGTAGGGTACGGAGACACAGCTCATTTCCAAAGTATATACCCCAATGATCATTTAAACTCATAGCTTCAAACTAGGAATCTGTTGAAACGAACCCAACCCATGTCTACAAGTTTCAGAAAGTGGACGTGAAGTGCAGGATATTCATCCTAGAAGAGTATGATGGGTGTCGAATACGTATTATCATTTATGTAATAGAGCACACATGTTAATAAATGTATGCATATGTGCAAGGAGTGTCCAAGAAGTGTCCAATGAACCTGCCTTTTGGCTTCTATCTACAAATTTGCAGCTTAAGTTACCTCTTATATGATGCATCATACTACCACTGTTTCTTTTCCACAAACCAAGTATGCTAAAACATATAGAGACCTAGCGTCAAGTTTATATAACTTTCTATTTTAGATTTATAACCTAATATATTATAACCAATAGATATAGAACTCTAACGACTCTCATGTTAGTGATCTATGCATGAAAGGGGTACAAGATTCACTGAGATTTATGGTTTCTTCCAACATCTGCTTTGTGGTTCTCCGTATCAGATACCAAGACCCAAGTCTACTAGTTTTTTAATTTAGTTTACAACTATGCTCTGTAATGTAACAGCTTTCGGAGAGGCTATTTCCCTGAAGCACTGCTCATCTTTGTTGTTGGCTATATAACATAAGATTCAATATGCTCGTAAATATCTAGCACTATGAACTACTCTCTTAACCTCATCTCCTTTTCTCATATGAGACACCTGAAACTCTGATGGTTTTTATGACCCAACTAACTTGCACCTGCTCTTGCAAGTTCCCCTCTCTCTTTTTCTTTTACCATGACTCCATCCCAATTTGTTTTTCCTCGTCTGACTATTTTCAGCCTTAGGCTGAAAATAACTTCAACTTATTAATTTCTACTTATTAAAGAGGATCAATGCTTCAGTTCACTTACATCTTTTCAATATGGATACATGTATTATTCTTTGATCAACCGAAGTCAATTCTCAATGACACTGCATGCATCCCTGCATTTTTTTCACTGCTGCTGGAACTGGTGGTGAATGGTCAAGTGTGCAACCCTTCACAATTATCTTAATCATCTAACAGGATCATAAAAACCAGCCAACTCAACCAATTGATGAATCTCATTTCTCTCAAAAGTCTTCAATTTGAGAGAGAATCTATGGGATATCTGGTTTGCAAAGGTAGTCTGCAAAAAGATATCCTTTTCACTTCCTGATTTGCGGTTTCCCTCATAGACAGATATCAACTGTTTGCAAAGGATTATTTATTCAAAACTTATCTATGGTTGTGATCATTGAATCTCTTATAATCCCAAAGTTAAACCTCATCTCGCCTTTTCTCTTAATAGGCTTACCAAAAAATTAATGTCCATGACTTAGCCTGTGGGCTTGAAGGGTAGTGAATAAAGGACAAATAATTTGTCATGTATTAGTTTTACAATGTCAAAATATATGCAATGAGACTTAATATGTCAGTACCCTGCTAGTATATGAGTTTTCATAGAGAAGGTATTCTATAATTAGTATTGACACAACCAGATTAGCTGATTAGCTCACAAGAGGGCGAAAGGATGTCCAAAATGGTCAAGATTGTACCCTTCTAAGAGTGCAAAAATAGTAGCCTAGGAAAAATCTAAAAATATCATTGCCTACTTTATATAAGCAGAGTGCATATGATACTAAAATCCCAACATGTACTGCATCTTTTTCATCATAACATTAAAGACTCATCAATTTAAACAAGATAAACGGAGAAAACATAATCTATTAGGTCACGTCAGATGAAAAACCTTTTGGGTCTATCAAAACTTATTAAAATTATTTATACAATCAATTGTTTTCCCTTTTCCAAATCGACTTTGTGGGTGGAAGGATGAGTTTCCAGAATGAATGGAAACAAATAATGCTTTTGAAACGAATAAATAGATTGATTGTATAATAGAGTTGATTAATAAAATAGTAGTGCCTCATGCACAAGGTAGTTACCATAATAGAAGCAAGTCCACAACCAATTTTATCTTCTGAACGTGGATGATAAGCAAGAAGCTTCTCAACAACTTCTTTCTCATCATCAGGGCATAGACATTCCCCATCCATATATCTGCTAATATGAAAGATTTTAGATAAAGGAAGCAAGTTTGGAAGACTCTTATATAACTTGAAATATACAATGCAGAGATGATAAAATCTGTCTTACATCATTATTTGTTCCTAATTCCTTCCAATTCTGAATTAAGAATACAAATTTTTATTATAGAATTCATGAACCACAAGCTAACTTGGGACGTGGACGTGTACTAAGATGTAGAATATTCACGAGAAAACTCAAGCTTCTGATAAAGTGAGGTAGAGTGGAGGATAAGTAGGTCAAATAAGTATGGACCCAGTACCCAATAGGGGTATCCCCTTTGGATCATGTAGTCTCCCAAGCATAATCCATCACTTTAGGTCTATAGTCATAACAAATTGGTCCAAACATAAGAACAAGTACTACAACTACAAAAGGTTGAGAATGAGACTAGTGGATCATAACTACCAACAACAACTAGTGTTAAGTTCAGTCTAATTACCTCAGCTGACTAAAATACATATATTCCTTCACTTTTCACAAACTAGATGCAAGTCCATATATGCGTGCGTAGAGGGAGGGGAGGAGGGAGAGATGAATTATAGCAGAAAACAACTAAATTTGCACTGGTAAAATCAATTATATAAGATGGATAATACAGTATGTAAAGGAACATAGCATGAGCACGGATGGAGAAGGAAAAGGAGGAGAAGAAAAGAAGGGGTGAGGATGGAGAATTTTAACCAATATGAACAAAAAGAAAAGAGGGTTCATGCGGTCAGAATAATCAAAACAGCCAATTCAGAATATCTATTCACAGCAACATATGGGAATATCTACTCACATCAGGGAGGGGCGAGGATGGAGGATTTTAACCAATATGGAGAATAAATTAAGATGAACAAAAAGAAAAGAGGGGTCATATGGTTAGAATAATCAATACAGCCAATTCAGAATATATCTACACGCAGCAAAATATGGGAATATCACTTCTGGGTCTTTTCACCTACCACTCTCACCATCTCTCATTCACCCTCATGCCCATAAACACGTGTGATGGGATCCTCGAGAGGAGTCATCTTAAAACTACCAGTCTAGCCAGAGTTCATAAAACTTTAGCTTTGAGTCCGAGTTTAGCTAGAGATGCAGCAACGTATAGGGCACTTCAACCTTTCCATTCGCTTTGTTCAAAACAAGTAAGATCGGGAAAAAATCTTAATGCTATAAAATAACACAGACAAAAAAATGTATATAAATAATTCTAAAGCACATTCAACAAGAAAGACTGATTACACAAGTTCCATCATCTGAATGGTAAAATTGACTAAACCAAACAACAAAATAGAACTCGTGTAAAGAATCATTAAACATGGCACCATTGTCTAGCTAATATCCATCCAAATTCAGCTAAATAGAACTCGTGTAAAGAATCATTAAACATGGCACCATTGTCTAGCTAATATCCATCCAAATTCAGCTCCACGGTCATGGAAAAAAGAATCATTAAACATGGCACCATTGTCTAGCTAATATCCATCCAAATTCAGCTCCACGGTCATGGAAAAGTAATTCAGCTCCACAATCATGAAAATGTGATAACTAATAAGCCTAGTGCCATGCCCTGCTATTGTGTGTGATAGAATTGCTATGGGCACCTGAAAGTCATGCTACCGGTCTAGGTTGCAATGTGAGTTCAATTATGAAGGGGGGGGGAATCCATTTGCTACGTCCAATGCAGTTTATAGGTTCAGATTCCAGGCAATTAAACATGCTCTAAAGGAGCCAATCAACGAGTATTTTACATTACAGATAACAGGATATTCATCTTCAAATGGATGACGTAGGTTCACCTAGTGCTTTAGACATCACTTCTGTCTTGCTATTTTTTTAATCAGCTAAATTATTATTGTTGTTGTTATTATTTTGAGGCGGTTCGACTATATTATTAATTAAGTTCCCAGTAAAAATAGTAGAATGACAACCATCAATAATTGATTAAGTTATTTGATGACAGGTTTCACTTATTGTCTAGGAAACCAAGATAATTCCTTCACTAGAAAGTAGGTATATCTCTTAGGCGGCTGCATCACTCTTGATTCAAGCTACTTGTTTTAATTTTTCCTTAACAAATAGATGAAAGCCTCTTAATTCCGAAATAATTTCATTTGGAAGAAGTATTAGCATGGCTTTCTAGTTGGTTTCAACATCTGTTGGTACTAATATATATGAGCTCTTGGTGCTGAAGGGTGAAGGTATTATAAATTGCTATCAGCAAGCCAAAAGAAACCCTGTTTGGAGGTCTTAACTTGCTTCTATCATTTATATGATGCCAGATTGGTAATTTGGCCCTTGTTCTATGGGGAAATAAGGCCCGGAACACAATCATTATGTAGACTATAGACTACATTCCAATTATGATGAGACATTCCAATTATGAGTCATCAAGCATAAATTTACAAATATTTGATTTCCAATAGTCTTTGTTGTGAATGATAGTGGTCCTATGTGGCATAGTGCATAATCTGCAGATATATGGCCCTCGGAATATGGTCCATAGCCTGGCCAACTAACCCCTAAACTCCATCTCTACATTTCTAGTGAGTATTGTGGCCCTATTTTGATCTCACTTCAGGAAAAAGTTTGATGAAGCTTCACTAAGTCCAACAATGGGTTTGGTGTCTTAAAACTCTACGATGAACACGTACGCACTTTACTTTACAACACATAACAAATAAATAAATCCCAGTGTTAAAGAGGCCAAAAGGTCCGTCGGCCAAACCTTTGAACATCTACAATGAGTAAATAACTTTTGGTGATTAAAAAAACCTACATTTTATACTACACCGCTATGCAGGAGCACACCAAGCCAAGAAATTTGAAATAAATTTCCATGAGCAACCCAAGCCTCAAACACACGATCAAAGAGCTATTTTTAATATAACCAGCATGAAGACTACTACTAGTCATCATTTAGATGCACATAAGAGTAAGTTTCAATAGCTCGCGGGTTCTCTCCCCCCACTAACTAGAGCTTATGTGTATGCCCGGGGATTTTTCTAAAAATAAATTGATCACTGCTCTACTTTGATTTTATCTCTGTCTTCCCTAAACTAAATCCAAAGAAAATTTGTTCAAAACATTGCAAGCTCTTAGCAATAAATGATAAGGGGAAAAATCCTTAATCAAGAGTTAATTAAGAAAAATTCGATAAAAAAACCCCAATTTTACCTATCGGAATGAAGGATGTATTTGGTGAGGATCGTAATAGGCTGGATATCCTTCAGGATCTCCTCCTCCCTGTCCTTCCACCGCCTGTAGTCTGGGTGATCCGCCCACGATTTCGCCGCCGACTCGGCCCTCTCCGGCGGCGGATACGGGGGTTTCGCGGTGGCCGGCGAGTTTTCGGCGGCTGGACGCCGGAGCTGCCCTCGATGGCCAGCGCGTCGAGTTGTCGAGAGGCAGGGCGGCGAGTCTCCGGTGAGGGGCGGTAATGAGAGGGATGCGGTGGCGGAGGAGAGGTAGGGATCGGAGGAGAGAGGGAGTGGACGCCATTTAGAGAGGATGGCTTGGATGATCGAATGGGCCCAATGGGCGTTTTATGTGCTGGACTTGGGTTGCGTCGAAAGTAAGCTGAATTATCCAGCGTCAAGTCTAGGCTAGCTGTTCCAGCTGGCCCATTATTACCCAAAACTAATCTGGCCCGCTCGTGCTGAGCCCAAATCGTTAAGATGTTTGCACCATTTATAGTCGGGGTGTAAACAATTGAATAATCGAATACTAAGTTCATTGTATTTGTACTAGATTGGATGCACCTGCAATATCATTATCGTTTTTTTCCTTTTTTTTTTTACTTAACTCAGGACTCCGTTGTGAAATATTTCTTTTAATTTCACATGAAAAAATAAAATAATTTATTGTCTATATACCTATATAGTTAATCAAAAATATCAAAATTACCATAATCAAAGTCAAAATTACACAGTCAAATCAATTAAGTACAATTTACAATAGTACATGAAGGTCAAGATCCTCTTATGAAAAAAAATTGATTTTTATGCTAATAATTTCATTCTCATCACAATCACAATCATATGTCTTCATTTTATAATTTGCACGAATTCACAGTATTTTATACCATTTACACTTTTAGTAATTAATTCCCACTTTAATGTGATATCTTATGAGGCTAATTGACTCTTAATGAAAGATCATATACCAATAACTATGGGTCTTAATTATGAGAATTTTCCAATGTAATATTATTATATTCTATATGTTTATGTTCTAGATTATCAAAGCAAGCTATGAAATGACTAATTAATATATTTCATGCTAGTATGCATGTTTTTCTTGGTTGAGTCACTTATTATTTTTTGAGACATAAAATTTCTCTATAGCTAACTTTAACCATTTCACGTAATTGGAGATTTGCTCATGTTCTTAAATTATGTTTATTGTTTTAATGAGTGTGAAATTCCTATTTATTTAAAGATCATTCTCCATCTCATTTGATTACTCTTGCAATTCGGAACCTTTTTTAGCTCAACTGCTTCAGTTATACCTTCTATCAAGACTCGTCTCTATTTCTTAGTACCTAATAGCTAGTGTATTTTTGATGAGATGTAGTTATTCTAATTCAAGTCTGTCAAAATAATTGCAAGTAGTGAATACCCTAAATCTTTTGAAATGAGATAAGTTGATCTTAATAATCAAACTGCTAATTAAAAGGGACGGGGGGTTAGGTTATCGAAAGTCCTCTAACTCTTCCAAATCTCTAGTTTCGGAGCAAGCTGCTATTCCCTGCACATGTAAGAGTCTCATAAGAGGGTAGAGTTCGGTTCTCCGAATGTTCCTCTGACGATCAAGTTAGTAAATTGCTTGAGTAGAGAAGAAAATGAACTGTAGGGATTCTGGAGCTTAGGGAGCAGAAAATTTGCTTACATTAGTGTTGAGAATAGTCCCCATATTTATAGTAACAATAGAGGGGTGATTTGGTAACTTTAGCCAAGTATCGGCTGGTGGCTGAGTCGGTATTTTCTTTACAGGTGTCGGTTGCCCAGTGGTGAGAGTCACTTTGGAATTTAATGTGAAATGACTGGAGGCACGCGGTGCTAACATGGTCGGATGTGTCATCAAGATCTTCCGAGATGGAGAAATGATGATTTTGACTATGTATTTAATGTGATGGTGACCAGCTGTCAGCGGGGAGGGGGGCTCGAGGTATGTTGTCGTCTTTCTACTCGCTAGGTAAATGGTTGAGAAGTATCGCCTTTCAAGTCAGCCTCGAGAGATGTTGGCTGAACAGGTGGTTGTGTAGGTCGTTTGCAGAGTCGACCTAAGGAGGTCGACATGTACTGCCTTTTGAGTCAACTACACGAGATGTTTGTCCTTTGAGTCGTCCGAGCTGGGGACTTTTGGTTATCTCGAAGTGGTGAAATGATTTAATTATGCAGTTAATGTGAGACGCTTGACCACTAGTGAATGGAGATTATTATCCAGTAATTGAAGCACTATAACAAGATATATTGAATATCTCATAATAAAATATCAAAAAACTTAAATAATACATGTTTGAGTAGTTGTATTCACATAATTATTTTTAATTAACATACCTATTAAAACATTTCTAAGGCTCGTAATTAGTGAAGACCCTAAATATTTTAAAATGATATATCTTAAACTTCTCATGATCAAAACATTAGAATAACTTAAATGTGGTTAAAACTAATTTGTTCAACTTTTTTGCGCACGTCTATAAACTATAATATTAGAAATATAAAATATTTAAAACGAAATACATTAAGTTAGAATTTAGCTTTAAATTAAGAGCCCTTATTCGAATAATTTTATATACACAATTCCTTTTACTTAACATACATATTGAACATTTAAAAAGTCTAAACATCCAAATTTTCACTTTTTAAACAATCTTTTTTAGTCATAAAAAAGAAAAAATAACCTTTCACATTGACTTGGTTGCTTATAATAAAATGTTGAACATTTCCTATATGATATAGTAAATTATTAAGCAAAAGATATATCTCATGTTTAGTGCAGATAACTATGTGAATAAAGTATAATATTTTAAAGGCTAAATATCAACCAAAAAAACTGTTACTTTGGATGATCCCGCGTTATTTTTAAAATATCATAAAATCGAATAAATTTCAAGGGTTATCAGAAAACCCATTTAACTTTAAGATATTATTAGGAACCCACTCTAAAAACATTAATATTAGGGGAATTTTCTAATAAAATCTCAAAATTTAGGGGCTTTTCTGATATAATCTAAAAGTTAAAGGGGGTTAACCACTACTTAATGGGATCTTATAATATTATATCTAAAAAATAATGGGATAATTTTTGAAAGACCCCCTCAACTATTTTAATATAAGCAAACCCTTTCAAGTTTAAGCATATTGTAGATAACCCCCATCGATTATGAAACTTTGAGTTAACCCCTTGAGCTTTCCTCAACTGTAGGAATTGTCTACAACCCCCCTCCCCCCTCCTCAATTATTTTAATTTGAGAAACCCCTAGATTTGAGCTTATTATAGATAATCCCTCTCAAGTTTAAAAATTTAAGAAATCTCATTAAACTCTTCTCCCTCTATGCCTTGAAGCTAACATTCACTACTAGAAAATGAACTATTGCCGACGGTCCTTTAGCGACGGAATTTTCCGTCGCTATAAGTTAGGTTATAGCGACGGAATTTTCCGTCGCTATTTTTCCGTCGGCAAAAAAGTTTTACCGACGGAAATTTCACTATTGGCGACGAAAAATTTTCGTCGCCATTAATTTCCTGACAGAAATTTTTTTTCAGGAAATTTTCGTCGCTAAAACCACTTTTTGCGACGGAAATTCCGTCGCTAAAAAGTGTTTTAGCGACGGAAATTCCGTCGCTAATTTCCGTCGCTAAAACCCAAAAGTTGGAAAAAATTTGGGTGCGGGCGTGCCCAAAAATTTGGGCAGCCCGTGCCCGAGAGAGAGATTTTCCCCCAAATCCCTCTCTCATTTCCCCCTCTCTCTTCATTTCCCCTCCCCTAGCTCCCTCTCCTCATCCCCCCTTTCTCTTGTTGGCTTCTCAACCGCCGCCGCCGCCTACTGGGCACCGTCGCCACCTGCTGGACCACCGGCTCGCTGGAGGGTTAGGAGGAGCTTGAGCTTGGTGGGGTTTTTGGTTGCTTGTGGAGTTTCGGGGTTTCTTGCGGCGGTGGCGGTTTGTGGGAGGAGGGAGCTGGCTGAGGTTTGTGGGCCTAGGTTTTGGGGAAGGGAACATTTAGGAAGGCCTATAAGGCCGTGCTTGAAATAGGGATGGTGGTGGCTGTGAAGAGGCTGAAGGATGTGAATTTGAGTGCGAGGGAGTTTAAGGAGACATTTGAGGGGATTGGGGCTATTGATCATCCTAACTTGGTGCCTTTGAAAGCTTATTATTTCAGTAAGGATGAGAAGCTGCTAGTTTATGATTTCATGCCATTAGGAAGCCTTTCAGCATTGTTGCATGGTGAGATTACTTTTTCTTGTTATTTTTGCATATTTTTAAAGCTTATTTTAGCTGAAACGGGCTAAGTGATTTATTGTTCAATTGGTTATTATTTGATTAGTGGGTATTTGTTCTAGTGCTTGCTCTAACATAAGCGTGAGTTCAGGAGTTATCTTTTGCAGATTATATGTAGGCTTTAATTGCATTGAATCTAAATTGACAATGAGCTTTGTGGATGTTGGAGGTTTTTATGTGAATATATGTAGTGTTGAAGAAAATAGGGTTATCATAAGTTTCAGGGCTGTAAGACTGTTCTCTTTCATGTTTATAAGCTCAAATCTTAGTTTTGGTGGTCATACAAGAATTGATAAAAAAAAGTAGAATTAGGTGTGCTTGATTCCATCTTTTATTTATTAGATTGTTAAGTTGCAATAATTGGGTTGGATGGGTAGTCAATACGAGGATTGCTACAATTGTGGGTTAGGTTTTTATATTATCTGATGTCTGCTTTATCATTATGATTTGTGCTGGAGATGCTTGTTGATGTCCTAGAGATGCATGTAACATTGTCCATAAATATTAAGAATTATCCACTGGTATACCACAGAAGTCAATGCTAATGATGTTCTCTAATAATCACCAACTAATTTGAAGTTTGCCTTAGAATCTTTTGATTCCTTTCGGCGGATTCCTCCTTAAGAGTCATGTCTTGATGCATTTCTAGAGCCATAGCCTAAGATTTTAAAATTATGTGTATCTTGAAGTTTCCTATCATTCAAGTGAAAATTGTTTGATGGGTTCTTTTTATGCATATTAATTAAGTGTTGGATGTAATTTGTTAGTTAAGTAATTAAGCTAGGCGGTGATTGTACTAGGGACATAGAATGAAGTAGGCACTCGTTGAATGTCTTTTTTTTACTCTGTAGGGTTTATGGTGCTATGCCGATGCGCAGCGGTATCAAAACATTTAGTATATTACTTAGGGGTTGATATCGGCATGGTGTGTTAGGAAATGAGCCTTAACCATTTGTGAATCATTGCGTTTGAATGCTTTGATATAACAGAATGTGGTTGAATGCTTTGGCATAACATTTTCTTTTTTTTCTGTGTCTATATAATCTGTGATCTTGTCAAAATTATACGGTAATGAAGTGATCTATGGCTGGAAGTAGAAAAGAAAAGGAGAATGTAGATTGAAAGAAAATGGATGTGGTAGTTGATAGCTTGACTGCTAGCTGATGCTTCCTAAATGTAACTCAACGATGAGGTCTTGTAGGATTGAATAGTTTCAAAATTTCTATGTTGTAGTATGTTCCGGGTATTTTATCGTAGTGCTTGT